AATTCTAAGCTCCTAGGTAAGTTCATGTTGAACTCCTTTGCTTTATTCCAAGTTTATATTAATGATCTTTCCCCTACTCTCCTCATTCTCGTGAATATGCTCCCTAGAACACCTCTCACTCGAAAATCTCCTCAAGGAAGCAAGCTAGGGTCGAAAACCTTCTCCACCTTCCTCTACAACTCGAAAAAGTCCCCAAGGTGAGCTTCATACCCCTTATTTTCGAGTTTTCTTTCTTTTGGGGGAGGATACAAGTCTAGTCTTGTGAAGATCTTTGTATATTTGCATGTATTTGTGTGTATGTATGTTTATGTGTGATGAAATATTGATATTTCATGCTTACACTCCAAGAACTCGAGATTTTGCTAAGTCTCAAGTTGTTGGAGCTTAGTTATCTTGATATGTTTCATTTATCTTGGTGTTTGTAAAAAATGGAAACAAGTTACTAAGTGAAAAGAAATGATTTTCTTGATTTGTGTTAAAGATCACAAAAATATGTCCAAGAAAATGTTAAAGCAAATTTTTGTCATGAAAACTTGAAAAATGGAAAAATATGGAAATTTCACTCAAAATGGGCTATTTTCGACATAATGGTAAAAATGGGCTAGTTTTGACAATTATGGTAAAAATGGTCTATTTTCAAAATAATGGTAAAAATGGGCTAGTTTTGACAATTATGGTAAAAATAGGCTATTTTTGACAACAATGGTAAAAAATGGGCTATTTTTTACAACAATGGTAAAAATGGGCTATTTTTGACAATTATGGTAAAAATGGGCTATTTTTGACAACAATAGTAAAAATGAGATATTTTTGACAATTATGGTAAAATGGGCTACTTTTGACAACAAAAGTAAAATGGCTATTTTTTACAACAAAAGTAAAAATGGACTATTTTAAACACTCCTAGTAAACTGTATAAATTACGACATGAATTATTGCGTGTTATAATTTTGTAGTCGAAAATATACACTAGTAACATTATTTATAACGTTAAGTAATGGAATTCAATATTCGCGTAAATTCCGTTAAGGCTCTTGTGAGACACTCATTCACTCGTACCTACCTAGTGTACATCGTAAGTCCTGTAGTTATAACCAGAGTCTCCTGGAGGGAGAGCGGGATATTGTGTATAGATCTATACGGGGTTGACACACCCACACCTGAGTTGCTCGCTACAGCTAGACATGCCAGTCTAGGATGACAAGTATCTTTAGAAACCGACGCCTGAAGAACGTCAAGACAAGCGCTTTAGTCACATTAGTATGGTTGTAACGACTCACATAGAGAATAACAATATTATTTTATAATTTATGCAAACCATACACTCCACTCATTTTATAAAGTACAAAACTACGTGTCGTCTTTTTGCAACGGATTTCACCACTCGGGTCTTAGGGTTTTAGGACCACAACTTTTCATATAACAGAAAATATAGGATTTTCTGGAAACAGTCTCTATATAATTTGAAACAAGGTAAACAAAGTATACACATGCAATTATACATGATTAGGGATGTCAACGGGGGCAAACGGGACGGGTAGTGCATCCCCCGCCCCCGCCCCCGAAATTTTCCCGTTCCTGCCCCCGCACACGAAATGTTCAACCTTCCGACCCCCGCCCCCGAATCCCCTTTATTACCCCCGCCCCCGATTGATTTTGGGCTGCCTTTTTTGTGCTAAAGGAAGTTGTTATGTAGGCTAAAAGAAGCTATTTTTTAGGTAACAAATAATTATTTATAGCAGAATTTTACATGTTAAAAATATAAAAGTTTTGGCATCTTAAACACATTATACTAACAACTTAAAAACATGTTTTTTAATGAATTTTGGAAACTCAAAATCATGTTATTGTTTATTATATTTATATAATTAATATATGTAAATATATGTGTAATTTATTAACGGGGTCCCCATGGGGTTTAGGGACGAGATTTTCTACCCCCCCCCGCCCCTAAAATTAAAACGGGGGTTAACCTTGCCCCCTCCCCCGATTTTTTTAAAAAAAAATTCCCCCAAACGGGACGGGGTCCCATGGGACTTTTTGACATCCTTATACATGATTTGAAATGAGACTCACAAACTATTTTTACAGAAAATATTGGATTTTCTGGAGTTTACAAACTAATATAAAGTTTTCTTACAAATATGCTTATGAACTCACCAACATTCTATGTTGACGCTTTTCAAAACGACTAATACAAAGTTTTCTTACAAATATGCTTATGAACTCAGTAAGCAGGTTTGCAACTATGGATTTTTGGATAATTGTTGTATTTTTGAAATGTCATACACTGTGTTATTTTTGGGATGTAATTTCATGAACAAATACAAAGTTGTAAACAATGCATGTTGGTATCTGTAATGTATGATGTTTGGATGGATATGTTTCAATTATGATCAATTATTATGATATTACAAAATGAAGTCACCCGCCCCCGGACGTTTCCGCCGTCCCGGTTCGGTGGTGTGACATCAGCCCTCGTGTCAACCACATACATAAGATATCCCATACATCTATGCTGAAAGCACTGCCTCGCCCTGTCAGCAGAACAAAAGGTGGATCCAACTCTAGTACCCTCACCATAGATGGTAGTTGGGATAAGACCAGTCCATACCTGTAATCACACAGACATCTCCCATCGTAGTTGGGATAAGACCAGTTGAAAATCCGACACCAAAAATCTCCAATACACAACCCCAGTAAACCTCAGAAGTCGTAACCGTACAATCAGCAACTATGGTGACCTTCAAAGGTCGATCCAAGGTCTCTCGAGAAATGTTGAAATATCTACATAAAGATGTAGACACAAAAGACCGACTCGCAGCCCGAGTCAAATAACACCAAGGCAGGTGTATAATTCACAAGGAAAGTACCTAACATAAATACAACATAAGCATATACAATAAATAATTCAGTGGAAATATAAAACAGATACATACCAACGACGACATCGGGTGATTTTTTGGCCTCCTCCGCTGTCAACTGAAAAGCCCGACCCCTGGCCTTTGGGGCCTCAACCTTCCCCTGACGCCCATCAGTGATGCGCAGGGTCGCAGGAGCAGGAACCTGAACCGACTTTGCTACAAGAAGCGGACATTCAGCCTTCACATGACCTGCCTGGTTGCAGCTGAAACAAACTCGCAAACCCTTTGGAAACTCCTTCGCGAAGTGCCCGTCCTTGCCACATAAGTAGCATACCGATCCCGATCGATAGGGACCCTCATGACCCTTGCCACACTTACTACAAGTGCGGCTCGTCTGACCTCCTACTCTCGAATCAGCGGGCTTTACCCGCTTAGTCGCTGACTGCAACTGGACTGGCCTCCTATCCCTCCTCTAAGTATCCATCCCTGGCTCCCTCTCCTGCAACTCCAACTCAATCTCCCTCCTCCTGGCATTGGACTTAGGGGTGGCAAATCGGGCCATCGTGTCGTGTTTTTGTCTGATACGACACGACACGACAAGGTTTTATGTAAAACGAACACGACACGACACGATGTCGTGTTTTTTTAACTAACACGAAAACGAACCAATCAAAAACGAAAAACACGACACGACAATATTTAAATATACATAACACGAAAAACACGACAAACACGAAAAACACGACAAATAAATGATAATCGGGTGAATTTCGTGTCGAATTTTGAACACGAACACGACATGACACGACACGACATCGTGTTTTTTACACTTGACACGAACACGAATTCGAATTTCAATTTCGTCCCAATTTCATTTCGTGTCGTGTATTTTTGTCGTGTCGTTTCAATAATTGCCACCCCTAATTGGACTGCAGCTCAGCCAAAGTCCGATATTGGGAGTTTGTCACGAATTCTCGGATATCCTTCTTGAGCATACTCAAGTACCGGATCTTCCGTGCCTGCTCAGTAGATGTATACTCTTGGCAAAACAAAGCTCTCTCATGGAACATCCTGATAGAGAAAAAGAATTAAGGCAAAGAAAAAATAATTGATTCTACTATCTAGTACAATAGAAAATTCATTATAGAAATGCATTTAAGAATGAATTCTCTTTGGTGTAAGAACCAATGTAACAGAAATGATTTTTTTTACTGTATTTGTCTTTTTCAAATAACAATATTTTATAATAATCCAATTACGATTTATATATTTATTCTAATTATGAATTTTTCCATTTCTAACTTTTCATTTTCTCAATTATTTTTTATCCATTATTTATCACATTATGCAACAAACACAAATCATAAAAATGCGTCTCAATCACATAAATATGTCTCAATCAGATAAATAGTTCCTTCTTTGGGTCTTAAAACAAAACGTCATTAAATGTTTTGTATAAAGAATTGAGAAAAATATGAGACATTGTTGCTTAAATCCACAAATAATTGTTATAAATATTGGCTTGTAGAACAAAAACAATCTTAAAAACTTTATTTTGTATCAAGTATCAAGTTTAGAAAGATACAAAACAGTCCAAGAGTTATAACAATTGTAAAACTTGGAGTGCTAAAATTATTGGCTTTAATCGGGTCACTACAAGAATCTCAAATTCCTCATTTATAGTACCAATACATGGTAATGCTTTTTTTAGCAATCTTAATCTACCAACTTGATTTCCAGCCTCTGACCATGAAGTACACCCCAATAGGATTTTCATGCTTCATGTTGTTGAAATGATTTCTCCATGAATGGCCCATGAACTCTCGGACTTGAACATGATCCAAACATGTGGTCCCAATTAATATTGACCTCCTAATTTGAGGCCTGGGCATTGCTAATGTTTTTTAACCTCAAAGAAACCATTTGTGGGATAGGCATGTGCTCCAAATAAATATTCTACACCATAAAATGTCAAGTACATGCACAGTGCATAAAAAAATTATAAAATAGAACGATATTTGATTTAAATAAATTCATGAAGAAACATTACCTTCTACACCAAAATGTAAGATACCGTTTGTGTTTCTTTTATTGAAAAGATAGCAAGCAAGAAGCAAACCTCACTGCACCATCTCTATGTTTTTTGGAGGTATAACTTTTGTCTTGGAAACCGAATAAAGTAAACTTTAGGACATAACTCTGAAAACTACTTTACAAGGGGGTAAAAATGAAAAGTTTGAAACAGAGCTTACAGTAAAGTCCAACAGACCCCTCAAAACAGCGCACAAGGAAACGCTACCACAGCACCGTCTACCGACGATCCTGCTCTCCGGTCGCATACTTCATCCAGAGCTTCACAAGGAAACGCCACCGCAGCACCGTTATCCGGCTATCCATCTCTCCGGTGGCACACTTCATCCAGAGCATCACTAGTAATACTCTTGTAATTTTTCTATTTTTTTTTTCTCGATTGTCTAAGAAATTTGTATATGTATTTGTGGTTTAGAAATTGGTAAATCAATTTGTAATTGCGTCAGCATATAAATTCTAGGTCTAATATAAATCTATAGGAATTTTTGTTATGAAACCTTAAGTTTTAGAGAACAATACCAATGGTTAACTTTTAAAATGACTTTAGACTTTTATCTTTTAAAAAAAATAAAAAAATAAAAAAAATGTTTGGTTAAATGAAAAGGATTTTTATAAATGATTTTTTCAATAGAATAAATTGAGCCTTTTTAAAAAGTCACATCACTTTTTTTAACTTTTCAACGGCTAAAAATATTAAATTACCAATATACCCTGTCTACCCTAATTAATTCTTCATTCACAACATATTTTCAACTTTTCAACGGCTAAAAATATTAAATTACCAATATACCCCGTCTACCCTAATTAATTCTTCATTCACAACATATTTTCAACTTTTCAACGGCTAAAAATATTAAATTACCAATATACCCCGTCTACCCTAATTAATTCTTCATTCACAACATATTTTCAACTTTTCAACGGCTAAAAATATTAAATTACCAATATACCCCGTCTATACCCTAGTTAATTCTTCATTCACAACATATTCCCTACTCTCTCGTTCTCTGCGTCACTTTCTTCTCTCTCGCATCTCGATCGTTCCTGCAGCACCGGCGACCTGCAACACCGGCGACCTGCATCACTGCAACACCGGCGTCTTCTTTCTCCATCTCCGATCAGGTTTGTTTTCTTTCCAGGCGATTTCCGATCTCCGATTTTACAAAATCTTCCTGTCTATTTCCGATTTTCAGTAGCAAAGAAATGTAGTTTTTGAATTTTCCTTGAACTGTTCTGTGATTTCTTCCTCCCGATTTCTGAAATCGATATGTTGTGATTTGTTCCTCCCGATTTCTGAAATTGATATGCTGTGAAATAGTGATTATTCTGTGAACTTGATGAAATATGGATTAATAATTAGTGAAATTGATGAAATATGAAGCTGATGAAATTTTTTGTTCAGGGATGATATTTGTGTTAACAGGTAACCGATTTGTGAAATTGATATTCTGTGATATTCTATTTTTTCTGTTTTGATTAGAATTTTGATAAATTAATGAAATCATTTAGGAAGGTTAAAAAACAACTTTTGTAAAAAGTCATTTTACAAAAAGGACTTTTGCCCCACAAAAGCTAAGCCAAACACCCTCTACGGATGTTCCTGAAAAGAATTCGGATTTTGAACAATCAAGCCATAACCTAGACAAAGAGGCAGATATGTAGAAAGAATACATATTTATTTTCAGCAGAGGCAAGCTTGTTTTCCCCCTAATCATCATTACATTTACAACTGCTTAGGGAGGAGGGAGTCGTTCCCTCCCAACCCACCGAACCCACTGCCACATCAATTTTTGTCTCTTCTTTTTCTTCATCTTTCCCAACCCACAACACATGGAAATCCAACCCACTCAATTGAAAAAAATACAAAACAACTAAAATACAAGTTTTAAAACACATGGTACAAGAGAAAATAAGAAAGAAAAAGTAGAGAGAGATGATGAAGTGGGTTAGTGAAACCAATCAATCCACTCGTTGAAGCGAGAATGGTACCGCCGATAACTCTATTGCTAATTAAGATTTTACATTTGATTGTTTTGTATTTTTTTTTAATTGAGTGGGTTCAAAAAGATAGGATTTCCGTGTGTTGTGGGTTCAGAAAGATGAAGAAAAATAAAAGAGAAAAAATGATGTGGCAGTGGGTTCAGTGGGTTGGGAGGGAATGACTCCCTCCTCCCTTATGGCCCTGAGAATCTCTGCATCTAGGTTTTGTGAAAGGTTGTTGAACTCAATAATTTCAAATTGACACCATTAATCAGATCAACTTTCACTCCCTTCGTTCTAGGGCAATCTGTTATACGATGTTTTGCTTTAAAAATCTGTTATGTAATTGGTGCGTATGTGTTGTAATTAAGAGTGGGAGATAGAAAAATGGCTGGTGATGAGCAGCAGCAACATCCACATGATAATCAGATGCATTCTCCTCCACATCCATCTCCAGCAAAGGATGATATGATAGGATATGTGATGGCATTGGAGGCTGCTTTACTCCCATGTCTTCCTGCAAGAGAGCTTCAAGCAATTGATCGATCTCCCCACCCTTCACATCAGAGTAAGCTTTTTCTCTTTCTTTTTATGGAACATTTTCATGTGTTTATTAGTTTCCTTTTGGAATCAATAATCAGTTCAATATGAAGAAATTTTCTTTGTGTGTTAGTTGATGTGGAGAGACATGCTAGAGATTTCATGGAGGCTGCCAAAAAACTTCAACTTTACTTTATCAGTCTGCAGCGTGAAGATCAGCCAACCAAAGAAGAAATCTTGCAAAAGGTAGTTTACTACTTACTACTCCATTTGATTTGTTTTTAATGTTTTAAAATTAATGAAAGAGATGAGCATATCTAACACTGATTCCTGATAAAATTGCATTGCAGGATATTGCGATGATGGAAGAAGAACTGAAAACAAAGACCCAACTTATCAAGAAACAGGAAAGATGGATCCAAGGTTGGAGAAAGGAGTTAAAAGACCAATTGGAGAAGCACAATACTGAATTAGAGAGGGTTTAGATGTGTATTTACTTCTTTAATTTCGTTCTTTTGATTATCTTATAGCTACTAGTAGTAATTTTTTTGTTTATTTTGGCCTTGTAAACACTTCTTGAATCAAACAGGACTTTCAAACCTTTCTTGAAGATAGGCGAGCTTTCAAACTGTGATTATGGATAACAATTGATTGAAACAACGATTAAAACACAAAATTCATATCAATGAACAAAATTTTAAAATATATTGCTATTTTTTTTTATCAAATTACTCGGTAAACTGAAATGAAGGGTAATGCTTTTCTGATTTATTTTTTATGTTTTTTTCTATTTAATTTAAATGAAAAAGACAATAAACAATAAAGTTGGGCCTCTCTCTCTCTCTCTCTCTCTCTCTCTCTCTCTCTCTCTCTCTCTCTCTCTCTCTCCAGCATCAGATTCCGGCATTAGAGATGCAATTTCTTTCTTGCAAACATTTGATTCCACCATCAAAGATCCGATTTACCCTTCTCAAATATTCGATTCTTGCATTTGGATTGTATACACTTCACCCTATTTTCTTTCTTTCCTTTACTGATTGTGTGAGACAGACACTGAAGAAGATGAACACGAAACTTGAATCATGTGCAGGTGGTATGACAATACGAAAAACGACCCAAAATCGAAACTAAAACGATCCAGGTTAGCCATAGTAGACCTTCGAACCCACCATCTCACTTCCCTGTTCTCTGGTTGACATCCCACTCAGAAATCAAAATCAAAAAATCAAAACTTATAGCAAACTTGAATCCTTGTTCTATGGCCTCGTACTCACAGAGGTGTTGCGGTGTTTATGATGAGAAACGGCGGCGCGTGGCTGAGATTAGGCCGAAGGAAGCGGTGGGAGGAGTCGTTTTTGGCGGAGATGTATTCCGTTTGTTTGTACTGCAGCGTGAGATCGATTCAACTGTTTCCATAGCACGCGTCGTCGTCCCAGATCAGATGTTCATGTAGAAAGAGGATTTGATTAACATGTAAGTTTGAACTTTGAACTCATCCAACAAGATGTACCTGATTCCCCTAATTGGTAGGAATTAAAGTCAAACTTAAAAAAAAAAAAAAAAAAAAGGCTCGATCGAGGGCTTAGTTTTTTCGTTTTATATAAAAGATCAAGCTTTGATAGTGATGTGCATCCTTATATCACCCATTGTAATGTTATAGAGTTACAAGTTTTAGAACTGATGAAGGAGTTGCAGGTTTTAGAACAGACGAAGGAGAGGTAGAGTTGAAGAAATCAATCTGGGTTTTTTCTTCAAATCCTAAATGGAGAGAGAGAGAGAGAGAGAGAGAGAGAGGTGAGCACAACTTTATTATTTATTTTCTTTTTCATTTTAAATTAAATAGAAAAAACATAAAAAATAAATCAGAAGGACAATACATTCATTTCAGTCTACCGAGGGACCAAAACCACAAACAAACTACCTTAAAATGACCATGAAGCCAAAAGAAACGAGATTTGGACTAAACCTCGAAAAAAATGCATACCCCAGGGACCATTTGCAGTTTTGTCTTTTGGATATTGTTGTTGTTTTATTGAATTTAGTTGAATCTTTTTTGAATAAAAAATAAATCTTCCAAATAGATTAAATAATAAAGGTTGCATAAAGTAGTAATTGACTACAAAATCTAGAATACACAAAAATCTTACACTTTTGAGTTCAAAGTTGAAACACAAGCAAATGTGGCTACTACTCTATTTCTTAGCATAAGTGATGAACATAGGGCTATCAGGATTAATCTTAAACCCTTGAAGGCTTTGCATGGCAACAGTTGCCTGCATCTCATCTCCATACTCTATAAAAGCAATCCCTGGTTTTGCTTCCACCATTCTTACTTCTTTGAATCCTTGGTGTTGCCCAAACAACATTTGCAGCATCATGGATGATGTTTGATGAGGCAGTTTTTGGACAAACAAGATGCTGTTAGGTGGGGCCGGTGCCTCTGGCATCCCGGATTTTGCTCCACCACCCATGTATGGTATTTGTGATAACTGCATCAAAACAAAACAAACATATTCATATATAACATTAATAAATAAATAAATAAATAAATAAATCTATGAAACATATGCTTACAGGAGGAGGACCACCATAACCTTGGTTTACACCAACTGCAGCTTGATTACCATCATGTTGCCCTTTGCGTCTCTTCCCTCCTATTGCATGACAAAAAAGTAAAAACAAATATGTTGAGATTTTATATGGAATTGACAGATGTAAAAAAAAATCATGTTTTTACCTTTTTCTTCATGCCTCTTTCGTCTTTCACGAGGTACGAAAGTCCCATCTGATTTTGCAATCACGTCTGATTTTGTTTTAGCATATTGTATTCTCTGTGTGATCATTTAGACAATTAAAAAAATAAAAATTTAGTTTTCATATTATGATTATGATCACCCCTTCTCTCATTGGTTAAACATCCTTATAACAGACACAGAAAGTAAGAACTGGATTGTAGAACTTCTGTAAGTATACTGTCCCTAAGAAGGTAAGCAAAATAAACTTCTAAAATGTATTAGAGTTTACAGAGCATTTGCTAGAGAAAACACTCACTTTTTGCTGAATTTTACAATGAATAAGCTTGAAAGTTTGAAGATACAACAGGATGAAAAGAAATACAGGTGACTAACAAATAAAAAGAAGTGTTTTCTAAACTTAGAAATTTAGCTTGGTTTCTAGATACGGGTTAAGCATGAGGTACTGTGTTGTGATAAATAATGAAGAAGAGATAAAGGCAATTGAATTAAACACACCATAGGTTTGTCGTAGAATGGAAAACCCTGCATCTGCTTGAGAGCACTGGTGGCAGATGAAACATCCTCAAAAACAACCCACGCTTGACCCTTGTGTTTTAGGGTTTTAAACGCAAGTATCTCCAGGATTTTGCCGAATTGTGAGAACACCGCTTGCAGCGATTTCTTTAACTCTGGAAAAACAATTGCTCGTATTTAGGTCATGAACAACTAAAATGTATGAAAACACACCAATTTTCATGCATGAAGATAAAAAAAAGGTTTTAAAAGGAGAACAAATAGGGCAAACGAACATTACAAGTTAGGGAATGGACAAAAAGAATAGCGAATACCATCAAGCTTTGTTTTCTCGTTCAAATTGTTGATGTATATTGTGTTATTCGTTGGAATGTCGCCGCCGACAGCCATCTCCGCCATCTTTCTCTTTCGATCGTAGAGGAATTAGGACAGTAATGTGAAGGGTGTTTTTCACTTCGAAGTTCCAAGTTTCTAAGTTCCAGAAAATTCAAGAAATAAATAAGGCCCAAACTCGAACTGTAAATTAGTAACAGACTAGGTCCATTGGGCCCAGTACGCAATGATCCACGTCTAAAGACACAAAGACACTCATATTAACCGAGAGATGCAAATAAATAAATAAATAAATAATAAAAAAATGACTTATAAGGGTAACTATGTTTCAAAATTGTTAAAAAAAAAAAAAAAGTTTGTTATGTTTAAAAAATACCATCAAAGTAAATCCTTCGTACAAAAAAACCAACAAACTACATAATTTGTTCAAATTTCACCTAATGGTAACCGACAATTACCGGTAAAAATAATTAAAAAGAAATAAACAAGAGGAAATGAGTCAAAAGGGTAACTATGTTTCAAAATCGTTCAAAAAACATCATTCATGTTTGGTATGTTCAAAAAACATCAACAAAGCTATATGTTTTGTTCAAATATTACTCATTGGTAACCATCTCTTATAGGTTAAAGGATGACTTAACCTAACTATTATGACATGGCATAATAACTAATGACAGGACATTAATTAATATATTCATCCTTTATAAATCGATTTAGGGTTTCTTCATGAACGAATGACTTCTTCTCCTCTGATTGCTCATTTTCTTCTAAATTGATGATCTCCAACTCAATCTCACACATTTAAAAGACACATTGTAAGGTCACACCTTATGATTTGATGAGTCAAACACTCTTTACGTTGACTGTCAGCGCCAACGCCAACATCAGCACCATCGTCAACATCTTAACCCTTATCAGCGTCAACATGTAGTTAGTAATCTAATGTAATCTGTGTATATTAGGTAATGTTAGGAAAATATAACCCAAAATTATACGAAAGAACAAAACTGTAAGATTATTGACTGAGGGCTGTGTTTAACACAGTTTCCTTAAAACAAATTCGCCCTATATGGGTGTTTGTTTCCCAGGATACAACAGTGGAAAACAATTATTCTAGATTGCCTGAACCTTCACTTGGTCCGGATTATACCTTGGTTGCAGCAAGAGAGAAGAGATGAAGCAGAAGCGTAAGAGAGTGATTTCGTTTCATTCGGTGTGTCGAGTCAGTCACATAGGCATTGTATATATATTATCCAATGTAATCGATGTCATTAAAACGAAATCGTAACTGCCACAATTAAATAAGAAAATTAATCAAGAAATCAAAACCGAAATCTATGATTAATACAATCTTAATTCGTTTTTGTATCTGTTAACAAAAAGGAAAAATGCAAAAAAGGTCCTTGAACTTTTCTGACCGACCGGTGGTGCATTCGTGCCCGCAGGACGCGCGCTCCCACACAAGTTCAGTGACCCGAAGCCAATTTGGTTCGCAATTGCACCCCCCCTGCGTGCGCGCGCAAGAGAGAGCCTTGGTTCTAATAAGTCTTACAAAGGTAGCTAGTCTTTGTAGTTATAAACCACTTTCCTTTTCATTCTCCCACCAATGTGGGATGAGTTTTAAAACCCACTTAACTCCTTTATTTTCTCTTCCAATTGCCCTACTTTGACAAGTAATTTCTCATTCATTTTTAATCCGTTTTGGACGTGTGATATATCGAAACGTGGATATCACAGAGGAGAACACGAATATATAATCAATAACTCGTTTTGATTATATTTAGAGTCCAAAATTTGTGCTCAAAAATAGAGAAAATCCATTTTTGGAAATTAATAAAATTAATTTTCCAACAATCCACCACATGAATGAAAATTGCTTCAGCATCCGCAATTCCAAGCTGCTTTAGGTAAAATCCAACAGTTGAATCATGCACATGATAGGTAGGTTTGACCCTTTGAACCTTCCCTTAAGATATATATTTATTTAACTAGTAGACCAGTAGACTCGATGTCCTTGAACTGTTCTGCCATTTGTGTAAATAATCAATACATGTCTCATATGATTCTCCCTAACCTAGTTAGGTTCTCATTGATGTGTCTGTTTTGGTCATGGACACTTGCCTGGTTCTGTAAGAGCTCTTAGGAACTTGCCCATTTAATTCCCTTTGAAGCAACCCCACTTCTCTCTCACATATGTGATTATATCATAATCATTAAAAGCTTGATGATTTCCAACTTATCACCAACTACTATAAGCTTAACCTGCATCACTGTTATTTATAGGAATGGGTTGGGGTTGACCCCCACAGTGATCCACATATGTTATATACAAGTAGGTTGTCCCTTTAAATCTAGATCTTGGGATCTTCAGTCAACTAGGTTGAGTTTTCCTTCGCAATAACTTATTCGTTCATGGGTTTTAATCCCATTCCTTTTGACGATTTTGCAACTAACTCCCTGTTTAACCCTTTGGTTAGCGGATCCGCAATGTTATCCTTGGACCTTATGTAGTCAATTGAGATAACTCCAGTTGATAGTAGTTGTCGAATGGTGTTGTGTCTTCGACGGATGTGTCGAGACTTACCATTATACATAGCACTTTTCGCCCGTCCAATTGCCGATTGACTATTGCAATAGATTGAGATTACAGAAACTGGTTTAGGCCATCCTGGTATATCTTTCAAAAATTGTCGTAGCCATTCAACTTCTTCTCCATTTTTATCAAGTGCTATAAATTCAGATTCCATGATGGATCTAGCTATAACTGTTTGTTTTGAAGATTTCCATGATATAGCTCCACCTCCAAGTGTGAACAAAAACCCGCCGGTTGAATTGGAGTCTTTAATGTCAGATATCCAATTTGCATCACTATACCCTTTTATAACCTCGGGATATCTTGTATAGTGCAACCCATAATTGCGAGTGTACCTTAAGTATTGTAATAATCTTTTAATACTCTTCCAATGTTCATCACTCAGATTACTGGTATATCTACTTAGTCTGCTTATTGCAAAAGCTAAGTCAGGTATGGTACAACTCATAAGGTACATCAGACTACCAATAATTCTTGCATATTCTGAAACATCCCAAAATTCAAGACCAAAAATTTCATTTTAATTAAGTTATTATATAAAACCAACAACATAAAAATGTTCATAATAATATCTCATGTCAAAACTAAAGTGTCAATAATCAAAACATATTATCTTAAAACCATGTTAGAGTGTAATCCCAAAGATCTCATGTGCGGAAAACATAGTGTGATGCGTTGCGATCGAGCCGACTCCTTTCCTTTGAAAACGAAGTACCTGAAACCAAAACTGAAAACCGTAAGCACAAAGCTTAGTGAGTTCCCCCATCATACCACATACCATATAACACACATACTGTCGGTCAATTCTGGGGTGACCGACCTACCCATGTCAAGTGGTTCTGGGGTGCTGACCTACCCATGTCAAGCAGTTCTGAGGTGCTGACCTACCCATGTCAAGCAGTTCTGGGGTGTTTAACCTACCCTTCAGTTTATCTCAACTGGCTACGGGGACTATTTCACCCCTACTACTACCACACAATAACATAGCATAACATACTGTCGGGCATATCTGGGGTGCCCGACCTACCCTTCGGTCCTAACGACCATAACACGGGGACTACTCCCCTACTACTACTATCACATAACATCATATCAGGCTAGCACATAACACACATCAGGTAGTAGCAAACCTAGATAATTATCACAAAGACAATCATCTAACATACAACTCCTACTAGTGGGCCGACATTGTGGCCGTAGACCCACCACTACTGGAAGGTAACTCACCTCACACTGTTGAAGTCTCGTAGACACAATCCCAACTGCTGGATGACAGATTCCCAAACTGTCAATATCAAAACATCACCCAATTAATAATTGGGTCCCAACACATAACCATAAGTTCTTGGAGTAACAGGCTACATTACCCCATCTTTGGCTTGATTCAAGCCCAAGGCCCAATCCAAAGGCCCAAAAGTCAAACTAGGAATCAAAGCCCAACATATGGACCAATTTTCCAAATTAGGCCCAAACCTTTACAAGGTCTTACCATAAGGCCCAACCATTTAGTCCAGTCCAAACATTCGACATTCTAATGGCCCAATATCCTATAATCATAAAGGCCCAAACTATGGCCCATCTATGGCCCAATTTTCCAAATTGGGCCCAAACCCCTTACATAGGCCTTACCCTAAAGCCCATTAAATTATTCTAGTCCATTTGATTGTTCTTGGATGGTGGCCCAATCACCAAAGCCCAATAGAAAGGCCCAACTCAAGGCCCAATTAAAAATTAGGGTTTCTTACATGAAATGATGCTTAGGGTTAAGTGTTCCTACTTAACCCATTAAGGACTTAATCCATCAAGTCCAATATTGCTTTAGGTTGATTGCAAATGATTATTAATTAATATATTAAGTTTAGTGAATAAATCAAGTGCGGGTCCCGATCAAATTCCCAAAATTAGGGTTTCACATAAAATGACAACTAGGGTTAAGTGTTTCTCACTTAACCCATTAAGGACTTAATCCATTAATTTCATCACTCTTCTAAATAAATCATATGGTGTGATTGGGCTTTATACACAATTCCCATTCCAATGGCCCAAATGTGGGTCCCGATAAGTCCAAGCCCATAAATCCAATATTAGGGTTTTCTAAACCCTAATTAGGGTTTCCAACCCCATCTTAGCCCAATAGGCCCAATAGTTAGGTCTTTTGATAAATTAGGGTTCATTAGGCCTATTAGTCACATGTTTGGGCTTTTAGGTCAATTAGGGCTTCATTGGGTCCATCGATTTATTAGGCCCATTAGGGTTTTAGTCCCTTTGTCCAAACATCCCAACGTATAAAACACAACAAGCACACCGCCACCCAACACGGTGGTTGGTGGCGGCAGCCACCACCTCACGGTGGTGGTTAGGGTTTCTTTTTCATTATTCCATTTTCTAATACATGTTACAAAGCTTTAATCCCAAAATAAACACACACTAAAAAAATAAACACACACACACAACCACCTTGTGGTGGCCGACGATGGTAGATGGTGGCAGCCACCACCTCACGGTGGTGGTGGTGGCCTTCACTTGGCTTTCCGACCAAACAGAA